TTTCCGCCCACACATTTACCTTCCCACAATTTGCTGCTGGGAAGCCTAGAACTGCTTTCCTGGACGTCTCCCCGCTACAAATGTATCCTTCCTTCTTGAAAAGGCTATACATATACCAAACTCTAAGCCTCCACTTTGAATTACATTTCGCTGAGGTTTCTCCTTTGTGGTGTGTGCTGCCCGCATTAATAACTGTTTTTCTCTTGTTAATTCCTCTTTTTGTTAAAGAGCAGCAGCTGAACACCTAGAATGGGTCAAGTTCAGGCTCCCCTGCGGATGGAACACTGGACGGGCTGCCGGAAAGAGAAGTGGACTCACACTACAGAAACTCTCCTTGAGCAAATTCCTACCTGGGAAAGTCTGATTTAACATGTGGGGGTATGGGGTGGGGGGGCGGGGGGTGTCACAGGGGCAACGGGACTGTGTTCCACTGGAACTAAAGCACAGAGCCATTGGGGTTTGAGAGCCAGAAATGACCTCACAGACATGATCCAGTTCAACCTGCTAACTTCACAGATGAAGCAACTGGGGTCTGGAAAGGTTGATAACTTGCCCAAGGACATGCAGTTTGTTAAGGATCTATTAAGCTCTTTAGTTATATTTGTATAACACACACAATAAAGAAATGAATTTTGTGTCTTCTCTGCTAGCTGCGGGCTCCACGAAGGCGGGGTGCCCGTCACTCGCCCGGGCCGTCTGGGGCCGCTCCCCTCACGCTGACCTCACCATGGCAGTGGGGTACGGATGGCTGTCCTCATTATGCAACTGTGGGCTCCAGCCTTGGGGACGATGACCAACTCACCTGGGGTCCCACAGTTGGTCTTGCAACCAGCACAGTGCTTAGAAGTAGCAGGCCCTCAATTAATGTCGAGTAAGTGAATGAATGAAATGAATGAATGAGTGAAGTACAGAGTCTGTATTCAGATCCGGGTCTGTTTGGCTCTAGCGGCCAGGCACGGCCTTCGCCTGAACACAAGAATATCATCGAGGCTGTTGTACCAGGAACACTCAAATCCACCCATTAGATACAAATAAATGACTGAAAGCATAGAGTTAGAACTCATCTGCGCCTCAATTTCCTGTGGATAAAAACTTTCCTCATGCAGCAGCCCTAGGATTTAAATAAGGTGTGAAAAATCACATGCATCACTGCATACTCTAAGATGATCACAAATAGGCTTGGAGTGGCTAATACTAGGTTTTAATCCAGACCAGCACTTACTAGCTATGTCACCTGGGACAGGTTACTTGGCCTCCCCTGGCTTTAGGTTCCACATCTGAGTTAGTAGAACAGGGGTGATAACAGTACCTATTTCAGAGAGTTCTTGTAAACAGATGAAAAGCTATATATAATACACATAAGGCACATAAACAAACAGAAACTACTTTATTATCTTTAAATAAAGCAGAAAGTTTGATGGAAAATATAAAGGTGATATAAAGTAAAACAAGCTATTGTTATATTGAGCAAAAAACAATCCATAAATAGTTATCTGAATTCAGTAAGATTTTTGTCTTTTACTTCGGAAATCAGGCCAACCTCAAATGCCTCTTTCCATGGTGTTAATTATGATTACACATGGGAAATTCATCCTTCACCTGCTGAAATTAGTAACGGAAGGAAAAATACTGGACCTTCCCAACGTAAAAGAGGTTTAGTTTCCTAAGTTCTTTTTTCAGAAATGTAGTGGCTAACAGCTTTTGGTATGCTAGAACCGTAATAACCTAGCCATAATCTTATCAACGAGGTGGGTTTTCCTTATGATGTGGGGGTTAATTAACAGCGTACTTTTACAGAGTTGGAGCTAGAAAAGATCAGATTGGAAACTGCCTTAGTGAACATTTCTGAACACTAACTGCTCCACAGAAGTCAAAACTTTACAAAGGAAAGAATGTGCTAATAAATAGCTACCGTGGTGGGCAGCCTTGAGCTGGCCCGTGACCTCAGCTCCCAGCATTCATGCCCTGGGTAGGCCCTGCCCCCTTGCGCCGGAGCTGCGCTGACTCACTCACTTCTAATAAACAGAACACAGTAAACCGGTGGGCCATCACTCTGAGATTAGGTAACAAAGACTGTGAATTCCATTCCATCTGGCACGCCCTCGCTTGCTCCGATGGCGGCCGGCTGCCGTGTTGCGAGCTGCCGTATGGAGAGGCTCATGTGGCCGGGAACTGAGGGAGGCCTCCAAACCAACAGCCACCAAGAAACGGAGGCTCTCAGTCCAGCACCCCTCCAGAAACGCAATCCTGCCATCAAACGTGTGAGGGAGCCTGGTAGTGGGTACTCCTTCAAGTCCCGCCTCCGATGAGAGCACAGCTGATACTTTATTGCAAACGTGGAGGCACAGGCACCCAGCTAAGCCATCCCTGGACACCTGACCCACAGAAACTGTGAGATAATAAGCGTGTATTGTTCTAAACCACTAAGTTTTGAGTTGTCTGTTACACAGCGGAGGATAACTATTACACTGACTTATATTGTGTTTCCTATGTCCTAGTCGCTGTGACAAGCATGCTATGCACATGTAGGAGATGTAAGTGCTATGAGCACCCCACTTGACAGGCAGGGAAAAAGCACAGGTGGGGTAAACAGCTTCCCCAGGGCGACAGCGTGTACGCCGTTACGTTGCACTGCCTCCTTACGTACACACTCCCGTGAGGAATAAGTGCATACCAAACCCAACTCAATCTTTAGAGGTTAAAACAATAAATAATAACTAAACTAAATAAAGGGTTTCTACAGTGATCGAAATCTATACAACATGAAGCCAACCCTTTCCTCAACGTCAAACTTTGAGTTAAGGTAATTAATATTTTCCTGATGTTACAGTCTGACAACTTTTGTTTTGCCCAAGAAGGGTGGAGGAGCGCTTTGTACTTCCTGTTGCCTGTCAAAGCTCAGAGAACACAACGGGGCCATTTACTGTTGTCTCGCTGACTGTCACCATCCCCACGTTTTGATGGTGATTAGTATTTACAAAGGAAAAAAATCCCCTCTCACAACTGAATTGTATTTTCCCCCATAGCCCTTGAAATGAGTCCTGACAATAGAACATGTTCACTGAGGAGTCTGTCTCCCGCCGACACACACACACTGACGTGTGTACAACTGCTCTGACTGTAACAGGGGTGATGCAGTCACAGAACACGGCAAACAGGCCTCTCAGTGACCGCGATGAATAAGAGTGGCCTGTGTCGTCTGATTATATTCTTTTTAAAAGGAAAGAATACAACCTGAAACATAAACACTGGAATCAAAGAGCTTCAGCTTTAGCTCTTCTGTTCTGTTACAAAGCCTACTTGTCGTTCCCTTATGTAATTGTCTTGGGGCTTGAAAAGCCTGGAGTTGCAGGCAATAACATTTAAAGCTCTGCTACCTAAGAAAAAATGCTGTCAACAGTGGAGGGTGGCAGATTGAGGTGAAAAGGGGACCAAACCCTGCTAGAGACTGGAGTAGTGAGGGGGAATTAAAAGAACTTCATGGACAAAAACAACAACAACAAAAAATACTTAATTTATTTAAGTCAGAAATTCTAAAATTAAGGAAATAAGTAACTTCTAAAGTAAACTTTGCACATACGTAACATCTTTCTGTCTTTTTTTTTTTTAAGATTTTATTGGAGAATCGGGGAAGGGGAACAGACAAGTTGCTGTCCTTTTGTTCTTCAGTCTAGTTGTGGAGGACGTGGCTTCACTGGCCCATGTTGGTATTATCATTGCGCTATTCCTGGCTAAGGCAGATCGGTCGTCGGCCATTGGACGGCTGCTCATGGCAGCTCACAGCAGCCCAGGAAAGCACCCACCCACTGCCAGCCAGCCCCACTGCAGCCTACACCATCACCGGTGACTCACAGCAGCCCAGCCCCAGGTTGAGCTGTTGTTCACCATCTTAGCTGTAGAGGGCGCAGCATCACTGGCCCTCATGTGGGATCTGAACCGGGGCCCTGCTGCTCAGAGCTGGCGTCCCAAGCCAACTCTTAACCAACGTGGCACTCGGCCAGTCCTAGTCTTTCTTTTTTTCCCATACAACATTCTGAACATCCCAAACAAATTAAACCATACCATATTGGTTTGAGATCGCTCTACACTTAAGGAGGTTTAGGGGAAATTTTAGGCATAATTTAAGTCAGAGAAACCACATGCCTATGACGCCTAGGCAAAAAATGAAAATGGCCTAAAAACGCCGGGATTTTACACTGTAATAGAACCCAACTGTCACTATCCTGCTGGAATGTCACATTTTAAAAGATGCTGTCACAGATGGACTAGTTATGGGGACCGACAATGGGAAACCCGGCCAAGCACATACAACTTTATGAACAGAAGCTATGTATACCAGCTGTACCATCTTGGATCTTAAAACCATTTCAATCATCAAATTACTATTGAATGAAACCCTGTCTATCAAAAAACAAGTCTTGGGAGGGGAAGTCGGTATCTGACATTTGGGTGGGGTGAGCAGCCGCATGAGGGTACGTACAGAGGCCAAGGGAGGCAACCCCATGTTAGAAGGTGTTCTTATCTTGTGTCACCTGCTGAAACGCTCCAGCTCCCAGGCCTGAGGACCAGTTATCCTGCTTTCTGGCTATAAGGTCAAAAACCACTTAGGCGTAGGGAGGCGCTAGACCAAGGGCCTGACTCCCTCCCATTTTAGATTCAAGGACATCAAGGCATGCATATGGCTAAACATGGAGCCCAATGAAATCATTCAATAATCTTTTCATGATATGAGTTTGGTCAGGTGAAACCCCTTCTAGCCAGGACAATGGTCCTCAACCTGACTCCCGGTTAGAATCACCTGGGGAGCGTCCAGGCAATGCCTTCCTGGTGGTCCCCAGTCCCAGGCTGGAATCAGTCTGGAGTGGCCTGGGCATGGGAGTCTTCACTGATACAAAGAATTTAAGACATCATTCAAACTCCTTCTATGCCTATCAGCATATTTCCTGTCATTAAAACAAAGTCGTGGAATTAGCACAAATTTTAAGTGGGCACTTGTTTTAAAGAAAGGTGAGTTTATTCATTAGAAGAGTAAATTTTTCTATGGTTAGCATTTTCCAACTTAGCCTTCAGGCAAAGCTCTCTCAAATATACATTCACGTTTCAGACAACAGAAGAAATAGCATTCATTTCCATTACTGAGAACTCTTCAATTTCCGGTTAGCTTGGTGATGACTGGATAAACTCTTATTCTAGGCAACCAATAACCAAAGCACATGTAATTACTGGTTCTAAGCACATGTAATTACTTTGCTTTCTCAGTAAAAAGAAAAGAGGTCCACAGAAGAGTATAGTAATGGACATGCTAAGTGAATATTTATACAACAGAAAATCTTATTTTAGAAAAGTTTTCATTCATTTGTGATGGGGTGGCTCTCTCTAATACTACTTGAAATTAATGATGATACAGTTTCAGTTATTTTTTAGATAAACATTTAATGAACATATTCATTATAAATTATTTACAACTGATGATGACCCAGCTAACAAAAACAAAGTTTATACATCAGACCCAACTCTTATAGTTAGAAAACAGCTTCTGATGGAAATTCCCAAATGAATTGTTAGTTCAGGTCAATTTCTTTCTTTCTCGTAGGACTAAGGTTAGAGAATAACATGAACATATGTAAAGAAGTTCAACAGTCTTTTTTCTTTCACACCATCTACCACGGCCTGGATGTTTGCGTTCCCCCAAAATTCATATGTGGACATCCTCATCCTCCAAGATGATGGTCTTAGCAGCTGGGGCTTCGGGAGGTGACTAGGTCATGAGGGTGGAGCCCCAGGAATGGGATTAGTGCCCTGATATAAGAAAACACACACACACACACACACACACACACACACACACACAGAGCTTCCTCCTCCCTTCCACCTTGTGAGATGCGGGGAGAAGTCTGTGACCAGGAAGACGGCCCCCACCCACCACGATGGCCTTCAGGACTGTAAGAAACACACTTCTCACAGCTGTTTCTAAGCCAGCCAGTCTGGGGTATTTTGTTACAGCAGCGCTGACAGGCTAAGACACCATCACTCACCCAGGTGACCCCCCAACAGACTGCTTAAGGAGAGGGGACAGCCAGACCACCAGCACAGGGGCTTCTGTCCGCAACGCTGTTAACAGTCCATCTACTCAGGGGTCAGAGAGGACTCACTGAAGCAGAGTCATGTTTTTACTGCCCCTCCCAAAGGTGACACACCAGCCTTCAGGCAGAGCGGCCTTTAACTTAATATGGCTGTCAGGCTGAAACTTCAGAAGCCATGTCTTCCCACCCAGAGGGATGGTTTGAGCTCAGGGAGAAACTACCTCTTTATTGGAAGGCTTGCCAATGGCCTACAGCGGTTTCCGCTCTCTTGGTAGAGCTGTCTGCTTTCAGGGACTCTGCATGCCTTAGCCCAGTGGGTTTTTGTGTCTTCACCGATCATTTTCATCTTACAGGACTCTGTGGATGGGCAACCAACACACAAAGGTCCCCTGCCCCATTATGAAGCTCCTAACCCTCCCTAGGGGGCTGAGGAGAAGACAGGCTCAAAGAGACGCTCTGTCCTTTGCTCCCTCTCCAGCACCACCACCCCAGTTCTGACACCTTCAGGGCATCCCCTCGCAACAGCAGGAACCTCCTAACCAGTCTCCTTGCCTCCTCTCCTGCCCACCCACCTTGCTTCCCCCAAAGACATTCTCCACTCAGCTTTGCAATTAGAACAACATCCGAATCCCTGCCATGGCCTCCAAGGCCCTCCATGGAGCCGCTCCCTGGCTGTGTCCAACCTCAGCCGCCACTATTCCCCTGCCTCTCACTCGATGCTCCGCCACGCAGGCCCCTTCGTGTGCCCTGAATACACTCAGTTCATCCCTGCACTGGAACCTTTGTGTCTGCTCTTCCCTCTGTCTGGATGCTGGCCACATCTACACAAGGAGCTTCTTCCGAGCCGTGCAGAGACATTCTGGGGCCACTCAATCTAAAGTGGCCCCATGCTGACCCTTCTCTGCACATCCCCTTCACCTGCACTGTCCCCAGGGCCATTCTCCACCCCTCTCTGGCCTTCGCTGTGCCCTGGAAGGCTGCCCCACCAATGCACCGTACTGTTTGGCTCCCTTGTCTCCGGGATGCCAGCCTGTTCTGCCAGTGAGATCAGAAAGCCTAGGGCAGGTCTGGGTCCCTGCCTCTCCCAGTTTTAGCATCTCAATTCTATACCTTCAAATCTGCAGCTCCTGTCAGGTGGCTCTTCTGCAAGGGTTCCAGCAATACCACTTCTGCCCCTTGATCCAGCACAGCACTCTGTTCATTCCCTCAGTCCTGTCTCAATGAACCAATTCTTCAGTAAAACCTCCTGAACCATCACAGTGTCCCTGTCAGGACCTGACTGGTACCACCCAGCCCCTGTCCCCTCCTTGGTCACTCTCTACCATCTTATCCTGTTTTCTTTTCTCCGTTGTAGTCATCACTACCTGAAATCATGGTGTTCACTTACTTTTTTTCTAACGTCTATCTTTTCCTCAACCACTAGAACATAAGCAGGAAGCTCATCATGTTCACCATTCTATCCACTGGGCCTAAAACAGTGCCTGGAACATAGTAAGCATTCAATAAATGGCCAAAAAAATGTAAACAAGTCAGTGAATGAATACCAACCCACTGTCTGCTCAAAATATCAACACATTAGTAAGATCTTCCCTGGTCATCTATGTAAAACAGCAACCACCCACCCCTTCCAGGCCTCCACTCCTCCTCCACCTTCTCAAAGTCTTCCTTTTTCCTATCGCATTATCACCTCCTGACACATCTGACATTTACTTGTTTATTGTCGGCTTCCCCCAACAAAAATGTCAGCCCTGACGGCAGGAATGCTATTTTATTCACTGCTGCGCCCTCAGAGCCTAAACAGTGCCTGGCCTGCAGTGGAGTCTCAATAGACATTTGTTAAAATGAACACCTAGCAAAGTGGGCAAAATTTCACACAAAGCCATTTCAGGGCTGTCTGCAACACTTCCTGGAAGTAACGTAAAACTGCGAATTCCTAGACACCCAAGCAAATAAGCGCAGTCTTCTGTGACCTGACCTTGTTCCTTAGAAAGATAACCTGGGACCCCAGGGAAATGCTACCTAGAGGCTGGCTTAGGAAGAGAGAAGGTTTCAGAAGGAGTGAGGGCCTGTACTTGTGACAATTGTTGCTTTAGAAAGCATCACGGAAGCTTACCTAAGCGCGCAGCCATTGTAAATCCTTTCTGAAAGTAGACAGGCATATAAATTATAAATAAATGGGACCTAAGCCCACCCTTCTCTGTTCCACAGTGATGCGCCTCTTGGCAAGAGCCTTCAACTACAGCTCACAGACAGTATATGCAGCCCAGAGCCAAGCAGGGAAAGCGCTGCTTTTTTGACAGCTGCTCATCTAACTGGGGCATCTCTCTCAAAGACAGGCTTCACTCTGCAACGCCTACGCTGTCCAAATTTTATTCTGCAGACTAAATGCAGATTTGAAATAAATTCCTCCTCCCCACCGATTACTCATACCTGCCCCCTCACCCTCCAAAGTGTCTATAAACTGTGTGGGTTTCGGGGGGGGGGACTCCCAGTGCACGGAGTGTCCCCGAGGGTGGCACGACGCCACTCCTTCACGGAGCAAGATTCCTGGCTAAACGCCCTCAAGGCTGAGAAAGGGAGCCCCTTCCCAACACCCCTCAACCAGAACTGGCCAACCGCAGGGCAATGAGCAACCACGGAAGCTCACCCAAACAGCGGCTGAGAAGGCTGTGAGTCACGTCGCTGCTCAGCGTCTGCTTCCTCCTCCCTGGGAATGAGGTGACCCCCCTCCTCGAACCAGTAAGTGCCAGGCGACGGTACAAGGCTCAGGGCGACAGCGCGCGCTCCCGGGCCACTTCGGGTGCGCATTCACCCCCTGATTGTCGCCTACTCCGTCTCCCCCGGGCGCAGGGGCGTCGCTGGGAGGCGGTTCCCAAGCCCAGGTCCGAGCCGAGGCGCTGGAAACCCTGTGAGCTGGCTGCGGCGCGGCCCGACAGGTGCTCGCGAACGCGGGACCCTCGGGGAGCGCGACCCCACCTCAGCCGGGGCCGGTGGGGTCAGGAGGGGGTGTCGCCAAGTCCCCGGGGGGTCCCCTCCCCGTCCCTCCGCCAGCCCGGGCTGGAGAGGCTTCCCCGGGCCGGCCGGGACCTCGGCGCTGCCACCCGCGCGCCACCTCCTCCGGGCAACAAGTGTCCGCCCTCCGCCCGACGGCCCGCGCGACCCGGCCCTCACCCGGCACAGGCCGTCCACGAACACGCGCGGGTCCAGGTGGCAGGCGATGGTGGCGCTGGGCAGGTCCTGCAGGTCCACCTCCTCCATCTCGCAGTCGATGAAGCTCCAGTCGCCGCTGCCCTCGTCGGCCTCGGCGGCCCCGGAGAACGGCGAGAAGGGCCGCAGAGACACCCCGGGCCGCGCTCGCGCCGCGGCCGCCACAGCCGCTTCGGCCGCCTCCCCGAGAGGGGACCCGGCCACGCCGTCCTCCATCCCAGCGCCCGCGCGCCCCCGTCGGCTGCGCCCGGCTCGCGCGCCGGATCCCCGCGCCCTCCCGTCTGCCGACTCTGCGGTTAACCCTCTCACGATCGCGTCGCAGCCGGCGGCAGTCGCCACGGCTCCGCGAGACGCGGGTCTGCGAAACCGCCGGCACAGCCGCCGCTCCCCGCGGAGCTCCCCCCGCCCAGCCCTGGGGGCGGAGTTCCGCCTAATTCAGCCGTGGACCCTTTAAGGCCAGTCCCCGCTGTGGTTTTTTTTTTTTTTTTGTATCCCGCCCTCCCAGGAGAGAAGGCCAATAAAGGAACGGAGCTCTCCTCACGTGACCTGGCTCCACTGCCCTCAACCTGAAGCCACAGGGCGGCCATGCTGGTAAGGGGCAAAGGCCTCTTCAGCCAGTTCCGCTTTTCCAACAGCTGGAGCCAGTGAGACAGCACCAGGCAGGGTTCTTGGGCTCCTAGCTGGGTTGGCAGCGCTTCCGTGCTTCCCTTGCGGTAACGTTTTGAAGCACATAGGTCAACTTATGGAGATTTAAGTGTAATCTAGTCCGGACTATAGCTCCATGGCCATTGGCAAATAGATACTTACCTTATATTATCACATATGCTCACAAATAAGGATTGAACTAGACGATGACAGCAATGCCTTACTTTCATATTTCAGCTTATTAGTCATTATATCATTGTTCAAAATGTATACAATCAGAAGTAATTTTTTGACTTACCATTATGTATTATGCAAAATAGGAAATAACAAAAGAAGTAAAACATTGGTCTTTGCCTTTGGGGAGCTTATAGAGGAAAAGCAGAGTTCTTCAAATAGGCGTCTCTGTCTCTCTTTCTCCTTACATCCCCCACCCATCCTCCCACCCCCAAGATAGACAGAATTCCTTCATGGTGAAGGACAATGTAGTGAAAACTTCAGTCTGAATTTCAGCTTCACCGTTAATTACTTGGACAAATACCCAGTGAATCTCAGTTTCCTCATCTGAAAAATTCAGTAAGGGCCCAATACATGGTAGCTCTGTTTACATGATAGGTTGTTTGGAAGATGTGAAATTAGACCTGTATATTCTCCTAAAGAAGTCTTACCCTCTAGTTAGAAACTGTAACTGATTATAATAAAAAGTATATCCATCTAACAGCTGAGATTTATTCAGAACATGTCATGTGCTTTGGTTGCAATTATGACAGCCTTAGAACAATTTGTGCACGCTAGGAGCTGAAATCCCATGGGAGTCGTAATATCCAGGCAGAGAAAATGCATAAAATAGAATGTGATGTGAGGATCTGGAGAAATTGGAACCATCCTACGTTGCTGGTGGGAATGTAAAATGGTGCAGCCACCTTGGAAAACTAGTTTGGCTATTCCTCAAAAAGTGTAAGAGCTACCACATGACCCAGAAATTCCTCTCCTAGGTATAGACCCAAGAGAAATGAAATTATGTGTCCACACAAAAACCTATATATGAAGGTTCATAGCATCATTATTCATAATAGCTAAAGAGTGGAAATAACCCAAATGCTCATCAAGTAGTGAATGGGTAAAGCCGATGGATAGCCATACAAGGGACCATAAAAAGCAATGACGTACTGACACACGCTACGGCATGGATGAACCTTGAAAACATTATGCTAAGTTCAAAAAGCCAGTCACAAAAGGCCATATATTATATTATTCCATTTACATAAAATGTCCAGAATAGGTAAATCCACAGAGACACAAAGTAGTTGGTGATTGCCAGGGGCTGGGAGAGGAGGGAAAAGGGAATGACTTCTAAAGGGTACAGGCTTTCTTTTTGAGTTAAAATGTTGTAGGGCTGGCCAAGTGGTGCAATAGGAGTTGGCTTGGGATGCCAGCTCTGAGCAGCAGGGCCCTGGTTCGGATCCCACATTGAGGGCCAGTGACGCTGCACCCTCTACAGCTAAGATGGTGAGTGACAGCTCGACCTGGAGCTGGGCTGCCGTGAGTTGCCCGCAATGGTGTAGGCTGCAGTGGGGCTGGCTGGCAGCTGGCGTTTGCTTTCGTGAGCTGCTGTGTGAGCCGCCGTGAGTGGCCGTCCAATGGCCGGCGGGCAACTGCCTCACCCAGGAAGAGCGCAGTGGTGATACCAACATGGGCCAGTGAAGCAACGTCCTCCACAACTAGACTGAAGAACAAAAGGACAGCAACTTGTCTGTTCCCCTTCCCTGATTCCCCAACGCTGTTCCCGTCCCCCAATTCCCCAATAAAATCTTTAAAAAATAAATAAATAAAATGTTGTAAAATTGGATGGTGGTGATGTTTGCATGACTGTGAATATACTAAAGAATCACTGAATAGTACTTTAAAGGGTGAATTTCATGGTATGTGAATTACGTGAATTTCAATAAAGCTGATATATTTAAAAAAGAGAATGTGATGAAGGCCAGGAGGGGTTAGATGAAGCGTGGCTAAGTGGCTGACATTGCAGAGTCAAAACCACTCTGTAAACCCAGCCAGACATCCTGAAAAGGGTAACAAAAGGAAGAGCCACCAGTTTTGGAAAAACAACTCCCAGCCAACCCGTTGCTGGGTGGGTCCCTGTTGTCGTCACCCTTAGGACAAGAGGCTCTTTCAACCCTGGCTTATCCTAAGCCTCTTACAGCATGCAGACAAAGGGTGCAAAGGAGAGAAAGCACCAGAAAAACAGAAACCTGAAATGCACACAGAGCAAGCCATCACAGCTGGCTAGCCTCAGAGCTAAGAGAGAAAAGAGCAAGTTCAACCTCAATCAAGTGGTGAAGTCAAAGTTACCTGTAACTGACTTTAGAATGCAGTTAGTTACTAATAAGACACAAAGACGTATTCCTTGAGTGACTTTAGATTCCCTCCTCTGTCTTTCTCCTCTCCCTCCCCAGGCAGCAAAGTAAAGAGGGTGAGACTTCTTAGTTGTCTGTATGACTCCAATAATAATAATACCAATTTCATTCAGGTAGCTCCTAAGTAATTAATGGGTATATACATACACTAGCTCACATAATCCTCACAAACAGGTATGATTACTCCAGATTCATAGAGCTGAGGCTCAAATAAATTAAATGGCCTTTCCACAAGCAAACCGTCAGCCAATGGCCAAGCAGGCCAACCCAACTCTTACTCCTGTGCTGCCATTGCCGCTCGGGACTAGAGGAAACAGAAAAATGGGAAGGAACCAAAGGAAAACAATGGAGAAAAGTAGAGAAGAGGGAAGATAAAGCAAAGGACAGGAAAGGAGAGGGAAAGAAGGGGAATGTGAGAGGTAGGAGAGTTGCTTAAGATTCAAAATGGGGAGCAGGGGTGATGACCCCAAGGAAGAGCTGAACCTCCCCTAACTCAGCTGGCCATGTAGGGCACACTCTCAGGTGCTTAGGGCCAGCACTGGGCACGATGCTTAACGGATAGAGGGCTCTCAAAATATCAGAGTGAAATGACGCACAATCTTAATACATAGGATTAGCATCATGCCTTTGTATCTGGGTGCCCAGGGATCTTGCCCTATAGCAGGTGACACATTTAGTAAGAAAATGTCAGATTCTTCTTTCCATTCAGAAAATAAAATTTTATAGTAACTTCCATCTTTGTCATGCCTTATAAGTTTACGAAAGGCAGATGCTGTGCCTTATGCCTTCACTGACACTAACGATGAACACCAACTGTCA